CTTGTGCAGGTACAAAGTACAGCCTTCCTTTGTGCAGCTTTGACAGAGCTGTGATTCTTACAGCACAACAGTGTATGCCTGCGTGTCTACAAGAAGTAATAAGTCCAAGTTCTTAGATGGCACTTTCACCTATATATCTCAAAGGACATCACAATAGAAAGCAAGAATCGTAACCCTCTTTTTATTTGAGGAGACTGAAACACAAAGAGGGTAAAGTGACTTGTCCAAGGTCACACAGGTCATCAGAGGAGCTAGGAATCTCTCTCAACTCCCCATTCTGTGCCTCTGGACCAAACTTCCTATCTATTAACGCATAATGTAAAATTCACTACTTTGTCCCTGTCACTTGAAAAGAGCAGTTTATCTGCCACTCAATTTCCCTTCGCTTTGCATACTTACAGCCACTCAGAATGTGTTCTCATTGACATTCTGACTGTTAACTTAAAGTTCTTTTATGTATGGGCTCCACAAAAATTATCCTTTAACTAGAAATGAGATGAACCAGATTGCTGGACCCAGACTGCCTGTATTTTGGGAAAGCTGAAAGCCAATTAATTTTGGGGGGGAAAACAAAACAAAACAATGTCAGTTCTTCAAAAAGCTGAGAAACTGCCCAAAAGTTTTATTAGGCACCTTTGAGAGCTTTAGGGTTTTTAAAAAATAAAATTCTCAATGATCAGAGCCTCCCCAAATTTGCATTCCAGAGAATAATTCAAAGTTTGAAGGCCTCTTAAACTCATGGAAATCCCTCCAAGCAATTTCCCCTTCTCAAAAGGCTTCTCCTGCTGTTAACTATTTTAAGAAGACCAGTCATCTGCTTTTTGCCTACTGACATCTTTATGGAAAGATAACAGGCCTGTTACTACTCCAGCTTCTTCGTGGGCTATCACCCACACTGTAACTGGAGGAAGGTAGGGCATCTATCCCAGAGTCTCTCCATGCCATCACTTCTCACAATTTTTTTACCTCCACAAAATTAATTATGGGGACACAGAACTACAGTCTGAATTAAGACTCCCTTAAATGTGTGGTCTTTTGATATGAACCAAAAATTAAAACATTTTCCATGTCTGGATATATTAATAATGCCTGCAGCTGTCATATACAAGTGTCTGAACCCTTCAAACACTGAGGTGATAGGGATGGGAGAGAACATGGGGTGAGTGTGCAAGATGGAAAAGGGTTTTTTGGGGAGGGGGGGTTGGGGTTTTTTTTAGTTTTTTTAAAGGTATATCCAAGGTAGAATGATTTTTATAGCTGAGCAAGAAATGTATAGTATCCCAAGTAAAGAGCTCACATCTGAACATTTGAAGTGATCTTGGGCTCAGTCCAGTTCCCACTGAAGTTTAATGGGAGTTGGACTTGCCAGCATACTCACATTTTTTCCATGCATGGAAAAGTATTTCCATTCCTTTGAATTACTATACCTTTGACTTGTATTTTACATAATAAAATAAATCTAGGCCATTGTTTATATCACAAGAAATTGCACTCTGCAATGCCAGCAAATACATTGACAGTTGGATAAAAAACAAGATAAATACTGGAAACATCAGTAAATTAAAAAAAAACAAATTAATTATCAAGCATCATTGTTCTCCCTCTTGTATTTCTGGACCCTTCAAATACTTTAAATATGAAATATGAATTTGCAGGTTTCTCTGATAGGTTTTGTAAAGTTGCCATGTTTCATCAGCAACAGGAGTTGTAAAATCTGAAATGTAATTTTATGGTTGATGGCCTTTTTCTACTTATTGGCAATTTTTGGACACAAAAACTATCAGTAAACAATTCAGAACGTCAATAGAAAAGGGGAAGCATAATAATGTTTATATTTTGGGACTGGCTTCTCTGATTGCTCTACGCTTATAAATGAGCTCTACAGATGGTGTGAGGCCCAGGAAATGTCCTGTACTAGAAACTACATTTGTTCTACATATCTATATAAATTTTAGCCTAGTAAAATTCCAAGAAATTAACAGATTTTGCTAATGGGCCTCTGTCCTGGTACAATTTTATTTTCTCCTTTATCACTAAATGACAGCGCAAGATAAGACCTTACTCCTGGAACATCTTTCCCACAGACTGGGGACATCTTGGTCTTTGGTATAACTATACTGACTGCAATGTGTTTACCCCAGGGAAGAGTTTGGCCCCTGAACTATAAAAGGAACAGCAGCAAAACAGAGTAAAACAAAACATCCAAACCCACACACCCACAAAAGGGACAGAATCCTCAATGAAGGGCATTTAATGCTAGAGGGAAACTGTACAGCTACCACAGAAATGGCAGACAGATTGAAAAGACCTGGGCAAAGTGACCATCTGTGTCCACTTCAAAGGGAAAAGATACCAATAGTGTGAGGACTGAGGTGCATTTTTGTTTGGTCCCCATTGTGTGTGTCTGCGAGTGCATGTGTGTATATGCATGGGTATGTATGCATGTGCGCATCTCTCTCTCACCCCATTCACTGATAGACACATGAAGCATATTTCTTTCCCAAACAGTCCATTTAATAGCTTTTCTCTACAAAGACAAACTGGCTTTGGTAGCGGGAAAAAACCCTCCTTCTTGACATGAGCCCAGGCAGGTCTTTAGCAGATTTCCCTTTTGCCCTAGAGGTACAGAAGAACAAGACACTGGATTCTCTTAGACTGGACAAGGCAGTAGTTCCCAGAGAAGATCATACCTTCCTTTGTCACCTAGAGCAGGTGGCCTTTCACCACCACACAGGAGTCCTTGCTCTATTCCAAACACTGTCAATGGAACTCTGTATTTTAATCTGTAGTCTTGAACATGAGACCTGAGTGACTTTTCTCTCTGGTTTGACAAAGCCCTAGTGCCGTCTTTATAGAGACCAAAAAATGGCTCCAAGTCCCTGCATGTTGTTCATCCAATGGATTGAGAGCTGAAAACAGAATATCTAAAAACTCCCCCATGTCTGGCTGTAACTCCAGATGTCCAAAACCACATACACAGTTGACATTTACATGATGAGACAGCAAAGAACCCTCCCTTCACCTCCTCTCTGGCCATGAATCCCTTGCTTCTGGAGTGAACTGATTGTGGTGGGGGGAGGGTTGGGAGTTCCTTTGTTAGCAACTCCTTGGCCCCTTCACCCCAGTTGTAATATCCTAGGAAAGATGTGCATAAGGGCGAATTCTCATTTTGCTCTCCCGCTGAATCAAAGAAGCGAAGAAACAGCCAGTCTGATTGGGAAAGTTCAGAACCAAAATGTCTTTTAAATAAGCTTCTTTAATTATCATCATTGATTTATTTATACAAATATAAAATATATTTATAGATTTATATAATATAGATTTATTGCTTTGGTGGGTCTTTCATTTACAGACGTACTGGTCAACGATCTTTGGGCACTGTTTACACTTGACATAGCAGCACCAGTGGAACTTGCAGTTGCAGCGCTCTACCTGCACACTCTTGAACTGGTCATAGCCCCGACCACAGCACATCAGCTCACAACCATCCATGCCCTCTGAGGTCTTGTTGCACAGCCGGCCCTGAGTGCCCAGTGAACCAGTGGTCTCGTTGCGCAGGCAGTAATCGGGGCTGGGGTCAACATAGACCAGGTCCTCTTGAGTAGGCATGTTGAAGCGGTTGTTTACCAGCTCTAGCTTGCCCTTGCGACTGATCCTCATGGCAGCTGCACTGTCATACTTCTCTTTCAACAGGTCACCCACCTTGCGGAAGTCAGCCAGTTGCAACCAGCAGGTCTTAAGGCTGCAGGAACCCGACACACCATGGCACTTGCAGGCCACATCTGCCAGCTTGTATACCGCCTGCAGGAAAAATTGCAATCAGACAACAGATGTGTTCATTTTTATAGCACAGGTCACTGGCACGGTTGTGTAGAGTTTCTCTCTCTCTCTTACCTTCCCTAATTCTCCCCCAATTCCTGATCTCTCTTTCTCCCCAAGACAAAATCCTTCCTTACCCTATTGAAATTACTCACCTTAGTATAGTTGGGTTTTTTTGGCATTTCTAGTTGTGTTCACAGCCCTCACAAACATTCTCCTGCTCCTACTACATTTCCATTGGTAGTTCATGACAGATGCCTGGGTCAAGAACAGAAGCATCAAGGAGGAAGAGATCTCCATGCGTTATCTCCTGGTGAAAATGCTCCTCGACTTTTTGGACCAGCACATTACATCCCTCTCTCCTCTCAACGCCCATAGAAGCAATTGGTGAAGAGAAGAGCTTCCTAAAATAATGGTGCTACAGTTCTAGCATTGTATCTACATCCTCTGGAACCTGTGTACCCACGCCCCCTCCCTCTATTCCAGTTCCATAGTTTTGTCCATTCTAAATACAGTTCCTTTAGGCACAGTAGGAATGGGAGAAATAGGACAAAGAATTAATATATTCATACCAAGTGGCCACATCCAGATGAGCACAGACGTTTGGTTCCCCAGGGACACATATCTGCAGTGCACCTTGCACTGCAGTTACTTGTCCCCGGGGAACACCTGTGCCACACATGCTTTGGCACACGGCAAGTTACCCAAGGAGTGGTAGGGGAGGCTGGGGCCAGCACTGTGCTGGCCCCAGCAGCTTTACCTGGGGTCCTCCTGGGGCTGCGCACGTATGGGCAGTGCACCCTTGCAGCTGAGAGAACACCTGACTGCAGTATGTGGGGCTGCAGATGTGTTTGTAGCACCATATACCACATGGCCACACTCATCTGAATGCGCCCAGTGTGTACAAACAGGGCATCCATGCTTCCAGGACAGTTCACATCTCTTCTATGAGCCATCAGTCTGCGCACTGATAGTAGGACTAGCACAGATCTACAGCCCTATCTGCAAGCTTTGCACCACCTAGTGTCCAGTTATTTCATTCACTAAAATAAGTCCAAGCTTCCTCAGACTATCTAACAACATAAGACGGCATACATTTTAAAAAGCAACCAGTGCCTCATATTCTAACTTGAGATCATTTGGGCCTAATTTTGAGAAGTCAGTGGGAGCTACAGGCACCCAGATGGCTCATGAGTTTTCAAGCAGTACAGCCAAAAATAAATAACCACTTGAAAATGTAGGGCTGTCACTCGCAGTAGGATGTTTGCACATAGCATGAGGGAAAAAAGTCATGATTCTTTTTGCCTTTATGTAGCGGGGGTGAGGGGGAAACAGGAGGGGGGAGAAAGATTAAAAGAACTGAAAAGTTCAAAACCTGTGAAAATGAACTGAAACACAGGTGATGTCAGGCAGGAGCTGGCTCCACTGTAGCCCTCCCCAGTCCAACCCCTCCCACGCTTCCACCTGTGTGCTCCTGTTTCTGGGAGAAGCACAGGGCAGGGCAAGCCAGACCAGGAAGGGCTGCACAGCCTGAGGCAGTCCCTGCCTGCTTTAGGCTAATCACAGCCCTAGTGCAGAAAGAGCATGTGCATATGGGGCACTTTTCTCTGCAGGCAACATAACCCAGCTGAGAAGCAGCACCAACAGTGGCTCTTAAAAAGTGGTGGAGGTGGTGCCCTGTCCCAGAAAAGGTTGCAAAAGACTGGATTAGAGGACTTGCTCAGAAAGCAAATGACTGAGGCTGAGAGGGTTCAAACCCACATCTTCCCTTTCCTGAGGAAGTACCATAACCATTGACTGGGCTATGAGATAGACTGAAGGTGCTCTCCACCCCTCTTGTTGAAGCTGGGCACCTGTGCAGAAAAGAATGCAAGACTCCTGGGCCCAGATGGAGAGAGCACAAGAAGAGTTTACGATCCTCTTGCCCAGTAAGGAGGACACTCCTCTGGGATGTGGGAGTCCTGGAATCTCCCAATACTTATTATAGATTTAATCCAATGACTCCAATACAAAATGCGTAAGTAGCCACTACAGCAGGGACCAGACCCCAGGACTTGCCCTCATTATGAGTACAGGACTGTGTTCTTCAGGGGCCTCAGCTATGAGGGCCCCTCATTCACTAACCACAAAGGTGGAGATAGACACCAACACAGTCAACTTAGCCAAGAGGCTGGTGCCTCCCAAAATATGCAGCAGTAAAACTACGGCTCTTAAAGTTTAAGTTTCTTTGTGACAACACAGGTGTCTATGGACTGTCAGACAAAGGGTTAGGCAGTGTTTCCATGGATTTTTGTTTAGATTTGTGTGTCTAAATTCTGCTTAAAGTTTGGCACCTAAATACTATTCTTCTTTGGACCTTGTCCCAAGCTGAAACCAAATTCTAAATTAGCTTAAAGAGACCACATTATTCTTCCTAAGACTGTTAGGTATACAAGAGGCAACAAAGGTATACTACTATGGACCACTACTGGAACTTCTGCTTTAGTCCAAGCAGTAAATTCTATAGGGCATAGTCCAATACCCTAAGAAATGAATAGGCTGAGCCCTTAGAGCTGAGAGACTTTTTTCTGCTCTTGTCTGTGATTTATTTGTGACTGTCCTTCATAGTACAATGTAACAGCTGTTGATTTGAAGCCTCTGGATTTGCCTTGGATTGGATTATAACTGTGGAACCAACCACGCTGCTACCTTAGGATCCCTGCTCTATCCTACAAGATGGAACTACACTTGAATTTCCAGACCACCAAACACTTAATATATTCTGACTGATTCGCCAGCTTGTTATAAAGCTTATGCTAGGACTCCTTGGTTATTGCTGTGTCAAAACCAGAGCTATTTGCTTGCCCTTGAGTATGTTTTTATAAAGTATTATGGTTCTCCCTAATCCTGGGCTTTGTTCCTTTGCAAAAAACACTGCAACTTGATTCCCTCAGTTAATGTCATGGGACCTTCTGAGTTTTCTCTGACTTAGATCTAAGTGGCTGATGCTCAAAACATCTGTGGGTCATGTGGAATGCGTATGCTACCAGTTCATCACTAACTCTTAAGGACAGTTAAGCATGGTGCCACTCAGCCTAGGTCCCCCCCACATAAGTCCTTGTAAGCCTCTCCCTGAGCTGATGGGATGGGGAGAGTTGAGGCAAAATTGGTGGGCTCTTTACTGGCTGATCCAGGATCAATGTGAAGAATAACCTGACATCAAAGTAAGCCCTAACAGCTGAGTCTGATCAATTACCCTGCTCAGAATCAGACTGAAAATACCTCTAATGGAAATAATTAAAGTCCCCTACACAAGCCAGGGGAAGAGAATTAATGGAGCATTCCAGTGTGGTTAATTAGTCAGGTCCTTTCTCCATCTCAACTGGCACTGGATGGAGTGACTGATGACTGAGACTTGCTATATGCTGAGTGGGTAAACAGTGCAGAGGGACAGACTGCTGAAGCCAAAGAGACAGATAAGGAATGAGGGGAAATAAAACAGGGTAATGGAGACCAAGTGGCAAAAAAGACAGATGGAAGGAAAGGACATGTTGAGATAACAGTCAAAGATAAACAAACAAGGGCAATAAAGCTAGGAGCCAGCACTCAAAAGCTTGGGAGTGGAGTGGAGAGGTGATAGGGTCAGGAGTGCCCAAAACAGAAAAGAACAGTGTCCCCTTCACTTCCCCCCAGCTCCTCCTGGGAACCAGAGCAGGGCAAAATTCCCCTCCCACAATCAGAGCCCGGGATCTGGAAGAACTCTCTCTCACACAAATCCGATCTAAGAACAAAGGCCATGGGGGCAGAGGAAAACTCTGCCCAGAAATTAAAAGGGCAAAATCCCTCTTCCTCTACGTAAACTCTTGCCTAGTAACCAGAAGGCAGTGTCTCACCAACAGCAAAAAAATCAGAATGGAGTAGAAATCAATAGTCACTTGTTAATTAATGACCATTAGCTGCTCCAGGAATGAACACTGCATATGGCCATACTAGCCATGCTGTGGTTTGTATACACAGTCCCTGGGACCCTCTAATGCTTTTTCCTATTCCTGTCTTCCTCGCTCCAAGTATATGGAGTGACACAGTCCCTTCTTAGTTCCAGATTTCAAACAAACTCTTTTAAGTAAAAAATTCACAATATATACAGTATAAAGAGCTACTACCTAGTACAGTAGCCAAAGGATAAGCAGGCAGGTTGATTGGTGCTTCATGAACAGTCCATGGAGATAAGCTGCACAGCACACCAGGTCCAGAAACACACAATTTTTTTCTCCTTCTTGTCTATTCAGGTTCCAACTTCATAAAGTTTCCAACCTTGAGAGGAGCAGCTTGAGTCACTGTCTAGGGGACAGGCCCTGCTTTTAACTGTCTAGTAGGGTTATGTTTTTGTTTTGCATTTTCATCTGGTCATCTCAGATAACTAAATCTCCCCAAGCACCTCCATTCAAAAAGATCATGGTAGGTGTTTGTTCCAAGGAAGAGATTTATGGAAACTGGTGTGTTCCCCTTCACTACTGGAATTCAGTCCCAGAAGAAACATCTACTGGCCCAAATTTGGTCACTGTCCCATTGGGATGTAAAATCCTTCTCTTTAAGACCAGAAGGAACTGTCAGATTTTTCACCCAATGATCCCTGCACCTGTTCAATTAACATGTGGTTGATCTATGGCTTATCTTTTAGAAAAACATTCAAGGACTCAAGTGATGGAGGATATAGCACATTGTTTGGTAAAGCCTATATTCAGACTATTTACTAGCTGCAAACATTGAAATCTCATCCTTAAAGCCCTGTCTACAAATTCAGCTACACAAAGAAACCAGGTGAAACACAAGTTCGGGATGCTATGTAGTAACAAACATGATTCTGTCTTGAGGTGAAGATCCAATTGTTTTTAACTACATTCCTAGAACATGCTATAGCTCTGCCTTATCCAAAAATGTAGCATTGTTTAAAATCACAACTCAGATACTCATCCAGATGACCAGACAAAATAGTCTTTCCCTCTCAGGGAAGCAGGCTTGACCACTAAGAAGTACATAAAGCATTTGCTCCTTATTTTGAAGAAGATATTCATTTGTAGCAGTCAGACCAACCCACAATGACCCCAGATACTAATTTAAGATGCATCTTGGGAGTTCTAGTGAGAATAATGACATTTTACAATGCCTGTTTAATGAAGAAACCTAAATCCCTCTAAAGAGCAACCACAGTTATAATCCAAATCCCCTACCTCTCCCAAGGTGAAAAGAAATGTGAATTCCAGGGCTGTGAATCTGATGCTTTTTACCAACTAACTGCAAGTTTACCCCAAAACTGGCTTTCTAAAAGGAGTGAACAGGAATACAGAAACTCATTTCAGTTTACATGCCTGCCACAAAAATATGCCATTTACAATCAAGGATGAGAATAACTCTAACAGCCCCTCTTGATTCAGTTGCAAAGGCAAGCAGGAATTACATATAAAAAAGCAACATAAAAATGGAAAATGGAGAAAATACATAATAATCAATATATATGGGACACTATGAAAGAGAGAAAGTTGATAAAGGAAGCTAAGCACACCAATGAAAAGCCTGTCTTGTCTTAGGCTGGCAAGCCTAAGACAAGAAGAAGGAAAATTTGTCTTGTCTTCTGGCAAGCCTAAGACAAGAAGGAAAATTTTAAGTACATTACAAACAAAATCAATATTAGCTATCATATAGAGCTACTACTTGATAGCAATGGTAAACAAGTTACTATCATTATTAAAATTCTGATCCTTCTGCTCTACAGTTGGATAAAAGGAAGATAAGATACTCAGATCATTAGGAGGATTATGTTATTTCCATTCCATTAGAAAGTGAAGAGAATTCTAAGTTTCTACTAGGAATAGCACGCCTGGATAATTGTCACTAAGGAGTCTTTAAAGAACTGGCTAAGGAGATCTGGAAAAACTGATGCTCCATTTTTAATTTATTTTATACTATTTTCCTGAGGGCATTCAAGAAAATCAAAAGAGCGATAATGTACCAATATACCAAAAAGGAAGAGCACGATGGTCTAGATACAGCTATGATGTCTATACGATTTCCCTCCTGGTCCCAGGTCCACCACTGGCAAAATAAGCCTCCCCCTTTCCTCTCAGGTAAGCCGGAGACTGGCAAATGCAGCTGAGAGAAGAATTGAGTTCATCTCTTCCCTCAGCACTGCTCTTAATCTCTCCTGAGATACAGAACTTGATCATAATCAGGGGCATACCATCAGGACTGCTTCAAGTGCCCTGCTCTGCCTAAATACTGGTCTCTAGACCACTCAAGTAAAGAAGAATGGGCCAGGCTTACTTTGTCAATGGTAGACCACAGGGTCAGGAGGGAAGGCTGTGTAGATGTACCCTATAAATTCACTAGACTTACATCAGTACTGGATAAAAGAAAGAAAACTAACAAAAAGTTCACTTAGTAAAGACTTAAAGGCAGGAATATAATTAATACCAGTCAATTCAGTTTTACAGAAAATAGGCCTCTCATCAAAGAAATCTGAGTTTAGTCTTTCATGAAATTGTGTCTGGTTGATAAAGTGACTGTATAGATGGAACAGATTCAGACTTTTACATCCTGTTTGACATAGTACCATATGATTGAAAGACTGACACTGCAATTTCACTAGAGGACATAATAAATGGACTAAGAAATGAACTGACAGATGTGAAAAAGCAGTTGTCAATGGGAAAGCATCACTGAATGGAGTGTTCCTAGTTGGGTCGCAAAGAGATTAACTTTTTCATCAGTGATCTGGAAGTAAGTATAAAAATCATTGCTGATGAAACTGTTGATGACACAGGGATTGGAAAAATGATAAATAACAATGAACACAGGGCAGACAAATGGAACAAGCTGAGCCCATTCAGACAAATGCACTTGAATACAACCTAATGTTAAGTTACACATCTGGTAACAAGAAATGCAAGACACACCTGCAGAAGAGTGAACTTAATCTTGGAAAGTGGTAAGCCTGAAAAGGCGTGAAAGATAATAGTGGACAAGCAGCTCCTTGCAAGCTCCCAATGTAGTGCCAGGCAAAAGAGAATAATAGGACCATTGGGCATATAAAGAAGTGTTAGTAAATAGGAATAAAAGGATAATTTCACCTCTGCATATGGCAATGGTGAGATTACTACTAGAATGTTATATACAGTTCTGCTGTCTACCACCTTTAAATATGTTGAAAAGAATGGAGTGGGAACAGAAAGAGGCACATAGATGGTTGAAGGACTGGAAAAACATATTATAATGACAAACATGAAGAGTTCAAGCCTTTAGTTTGTCAAAAGAAAATGTGAGAGGTAATTTGATTCCAGTATATAAGTACCATCATGAAGAGATAATACCAGATACTAAAGGACTCTGGAACAAACTATCAAGGAAACCAGTGGATTCTCTGTGTCTTAATGTTTTCAGATCAAAACTGGACTACTTCATGTAAGATGAATTTTAACTAAACTAAGTTACCAGGCTCAATATAGGGGTAACAGGATGCAGTATAATGACCAGATATACAAGTCACATCTAATAATCATCTATGCCCTAAAGCTCACTGATTCACTGAATGCCAAAGGTGAAACAAATTCAGCGTGCTGAATGAATGATCTGTCCCCTGCCACCACATTCCTACTTTAGCAATCCTAGTGAGGTTTTTGTGTTGGGAAGGAAAATAACTGAAGCTGAAATCGCAGTGTGCCACAGCAACACAAAGCTTATTTTGAGGATTTAGCCTTGAGTGCCTGTGTCAGCCAGTTTAGCAGATGAACAGCTTTAGACACAGCTTGAAGCACCTCATTGACCCAAACTCACCTGCCAGCCAAACAATACCTCCCCCTTGCCAAACTGCACCTTACCTGTAGGATTCTCAGAGGAATGGTGAAGCCATGACTGTGCATGATATACACCCCAGGGAATTAGGTGCAGAAAAGTTCAAAGTTATGCGCAGAAAAATTCAGTTATTCAAAATGAATTACTTATTATTTTTTTTTACAAATGAAACTAAACATAACACCATTTGAACCTTCTTTAGAAATATATACAAGTACTTTGTATGGCTGGAGGGTGGGTGTGGGGTGTGTATGTGAGGGGATTTGTGAAGATGTGGGAGGTATGGGTGGATATGTGGGGTCTGTGGGCGGGTGTGGGGTTTGTGGAGGGGTGTGGGGCACGTGGGTGTATGTGTGGGGTTTGTGGGCAGGTGTGGGGTTGGGGGGTTATAAAAGGGTGGATGTGTGAGGTGAGGTTGTAGGTAGGTATGCCCCCCCACCACACATCCCTCCACCATGGTGCACAGCCCCTACTGCTGGTGGCTCAGCAGCAGCAGACAATGGGCCCTCAGGACGCTCATGGCTGCAGCAGCAGAGCCCCTGACAACACACTCCTCTGGCTGAGTCCCAGGGCCTGCACATGCTGGCATGGAGTAAGCCTGGCCCGTTGGTGTGCACCTTCGCACCAAACCAGGCTGGCTCTGTGCCAGCATGTGGGGTTTGTGGCACTGCAGGCGGGAGCCACATGCCATCAGGCTGAGCGGGCTCCATGCCTCCATGTGCAGCTTCCTGCTGGAGTGCAGGAAGCCCCACATGGAGGCATGGAGCTGGTTGGCCCAGCTCAATGGCGCGTGAATCGGAAGCTGCACACCACTGGGCTGAGCAGGCTCCATGCCTCCACGTGGGCTTCCAGCATGAAGCCGCAAATGGAGGCAAACATGAGCCCGCCTGGCCCAATGGTATGACTCTATGCCTTCATGTGTGGCTTCCCACCAGGCCAATGGTGCATGGCTCCTGGTCCATGCACCATTGGGCCAGGCCAGCCCTTCACATGGGGCTTCCAGCACTCCAGCAGGAAGCCACACATAGAAGCACTACGTTGCATGCCATCAGGCCAGGCAGGCTTCATGCCACCACATGCAGCTTCCTGCTGGAGTACTGGAAACCCACATGGAGGAATAAAGCCAGCCATCCCAGCCCAATGGCATGTGGCCCACACCCACCCATACCCCCTGCCCCATGCCCACCCCTAACCCACAGGCAGGAGCTCCCCTCCCCACTTACCAGCTTTCCAGGCACATGGCTCTGTGACTCTACATCATGGAGGTGGAGGCACAGAGTCTGCCACAGTTAAATTATGCAATTATGCGCAGTCATGCTTTTATGCGCAAAATTACATGGGGGCATAATTGCATAATTCCCCAGAGTGTAACTGTACCAAATGCATTAGTGGGTTATGTTCTGGTTCCTCATTGGGTGACTGACTCACTGTTCCTCATAACTAACTGTCCCTCCATAACCTAATACTCATAATGAACACACAGTGAATTTCTGATCTGTCTCTGCTCCAAAAAAAGGAAGTGGCCAGCAGCCATCTTACCCTGCGGCCAGCCTCATTGTTCTGCAAGTTCATGAGCATGCGAGCCTGCTCCTCTGATCCCTTTGCATAATTCTTCTCCCTCTCCTTGGCATCCACAAACTCCTTAGCGAAACGGTAGCCATACTCCACATTATCGCCACAGCCACCCCACAGCCAGTCTCGAGGCAAGTCCTTAGGGCGCGCTGTCCGACTGCAGCCACAGCTGGACAACTCTCCTTCACGGCAAGCACGACTGATGGCATTCACCACCCCTGCAGCACTAACGGCATAAGTAAATGCAGTCTCTCGACTACCTAGGAAGGAGAGAAGATGAAAAAAATCAGCAAAAGACTAACCTCCTTTGACAAATACAACCACTCTCAGAGAGAGACTGAACAGCATGTACAGCAGTTGAAGACGGTGTGGGCTGAGGGGTTGAACCAAGCATTGGATTATAGAGTATAAGGAACAATCCTGCCCTGGTCGACAGGCTGTGACAAGATGGGTAATTCAAACAGAAGCTGCCCATAGCACAGGTTTACATTCCATTTTGCTCGTATTTAGGGTGCCCAACCCCATGAATCCAACTATCCTTCCCCAATAGTCTTAGTACCAATAGCAATTCTGATTCCCTTGGCATACTTTAGCAGGGACTGGGACCCTACCTGAGGCCTGAAAAGAGTCAAGAAGTAAGTTCCCTAATAATTATACATGCAGCAACCTGCCCACCCCACCGCAAAAAATTTGTAATCTCTTGCTTTAGGGAGGATGAGAAGCATGTGTGTATAGGAGCTGCTGATCAAGGGTCATTATTATTTGTATAAGAATAGCACTTGCCCTGTTGAGAGCCCTGAAGACTGAGGCCCTTGGTCCACAAAACAGCTGCAGTGTGGACAGCAGTAGCCAAACCTTCATCCCACAACAAACCATCAGTATGCTTCTAACCTGAAGGAAACACTCACAAAGGGAGAAGGCAGTCTGTTCTCTATGAAAATTCAACTGTTGACGTATCTGGTGTGAATGAATTAGTGAAGAGGGCATGCAACTGGGCTTTGGCTACCCAAGAAAGTTGCTCCCATTTAACTATAGGTGACTTCAAATGAGTTCAGCTAAACTGGTGCAAACCCTAAAAGGACACCGCAATATCAGTTAAAACCCAGCTTATTTTTGTTTAAATAAATTAGGAATTGCTTTAACCTTAACCAAAACAAGCTACTCTTACACCAAAGACCTAATATAACTATATTTATAGTATTCTACTAGTCCAAGGAATTCCATTTATTCATATAAGCTATAAGGATTCTTGTGTAGACAAAGCCCAAGTTAAACTGCTCCATAAATTCCCTCATGTAGCAGAGACTTTAGTGACAAACATAAAGAGCATTATGGGGAGGAACTCAATGTTTGCTTTGTCAGATGACCTGCTTTCTATCTGAGTCATACTGACTGTCCAGCTGACATTACAGCCTGCTGGGGTATGGATGTCTCCATCTACATGTTGTATTGTCACCACTCAGTACAACAAAGTACTGAACTGACACTCTCTGAGTCATTACTTACATGCCAACAAACAGCCTTCAAATTCTATACAATGATTATTACCGATGCTTCATTTAAATGAGTATTTTAAACATGAAGAGTTACAAGAGTGATCCCCGGTACCAAATTAACCCCTAATACTCTCAATCATATTGTAATGTCATCCAATCACCAATGGCTTTGTAACCTTGAAGTTAAGACTACTCCACTGTGCTATATGTAGGGCTGGCCTTGAAGACCATCATACATTCATTGCAGCTGCTGCAGAATGTGGCAGCTCACCTTCTGGTGAAAGTTGCCTTGACCACATAACTCCAGTGCTCCAGAGCTGCACTGGGTCCCAAGAGCTTCCTGTGGGCAATTCAAGGTGCTGTTTTTGATTTATAGGGCCCTAAATGGTCTGGACCCTACATACCTAAGGGACGACCTTCTCCTTTATACCCCATAGTGAACCCAAAGGCCAGCCAAGAGCAACCTCCTGGAAGTACTGTCAGTGCGCCAAGTCTGCTTGGCGAAAATGTGTGGGAGGTCATTCTCAGCAGTCACTCCTCAGCTCTCTCTCCCCCCTTGATGTGCACCAGAGGTTTCAGAAACACTGTAGGACCTACTTGTTTGGGCAGGTGTTTAGCAAACAAAGCTAAGCTGAACTACTGTTTAAGGGGTCCCTGTTTATATTCTAATCTAATTCTCTTTTACAGCTTTTGAGCTGTTTTGTTCTCTTGATATTCTACTGTTTCATAAGTTATCCATTTTTATTGTAAGCTATCCTGAGCCTTTGTTTGGAAGGGTGTCATGTAAATTGAATAAATAAATAAATAATACCCTAGGTAGACTTCATAAACAACAAAGGAGGCCAGTAAGCTCCCTCAATAGGACTGTATCAGTGCTTTGGGTGTCCCCTTGTTCCAAAATGCATATACATTTTGCACCATTGTTATTATCAACTTATCACCAGTTTAGTGGCTAATGACCCAAGACAAAGGCAGGAGTGTGAGGGGCACCAAACTAACTGAGAAAAGTTTCAAGGCAAACTGCTCTAATTGAAGCCAAGTTGTACACTATAGAGTTCTTCCAACAAGGCTGACAAGTGTGGGGTGTGAAGAGGTGTGAACCTTAACCAATATCATTGTGGCAATGAATTTATAATGGCAAACCTGTTCTTTTACTGGTATGCCTTGCTTTGCTTGAGTCGGGGTGTCAAACTCATCAGGCCCTGTATGCAGGATGATTGGCTTGGGGCCAGTCCATGTGCCGGATGATCCAGCACACACCTCACGCAGCATTTGTGTCAACTCCAGGACCCACGAGCAGCACCAGGGGCTGGATGATGGGGCTCTGTGGATCCAGATCACAAGCTGTATCTGTGACACTCCTGGCTTGTAGGGGAAGGGTTTACTATAATGGGACAAACTACAGCTTTGCCAGAATAGCTATGTCCGCAGGAGGAGCTCTGGTGCCTCCTCCTTGAAGCTCTGCTGCCCTCCAATGGTCACTGCTTACCACAGAAAGTATGGAGAATAACCCACCATGGGGATCCTAGGATGGGACCAATCCAATAAGTATGGGGAACACTTGAAAAATACTGGCTGTATATGTGCCCTTCTGGTCTCAAATGGGGAACAAATTTAAGGGAATTGAACAAGAGGAGAGAGGAGACAGAACTGAACTCAGTGGGGAGGGTAAAGCAAAGGTAACTAGAGCTGATAAAATAGTGTCATTCTAAAGGAAAAGTGCTTTTTATTTTCAAATCTTGTATAGAAAGTGTTTGCTTTATTTAAAGTTTCCAACTGAACAAAAAAAATATGAGAACTGTTCTGATTTTTTTCTTACCAGTTCCTTCTACCTTTTTGTGTCACTCTTCCCCCCGCCCCCTGCTGAAAAAGGGAAGGGGAAAACATAAAGCAAACCAAGACCCAGAATATTTTCATGAAACCTACCAACTCCAGAAATGACAGGGCTGAGTTGGTAACAGGGAACAGCCCAGCCAGGCAGGCAGAACTATGCTGGGGTGGGGACAGAATATGGTTTCCTCTCAGAATATACTCCCAGCAGCAAACTGTGATGCTATATTATCTGCTGCTTTATGCCTCCCCTGAAGAAATGCAGTCGAAAGGAATGTATGAGTTCTCTATTGATAGCACAGGGATGCAATTTCTGAAGAGTAATTTCTGTCCCTCACTAACCAGAGACCAGGCTAGACCAAAACTTAAAAACAACGCTCACAGAAACACAGTCACTGGGAAGAATAAAAGACAAGCTTCAGTGCTTGAAATTCTTCCACAAAATCTGACTGCTTCACCACTGTAAAATACGCAAAACTTAAGGTAGACTCACTGAATACAGACTAACCATAAATTATGACCCCTGATTTCTGACCTGCAGCCAAACCAAGCTGTCATATGCAGTCATATGAGAGTGAAGGGAAAGGGCAGCTTCACACCACCTGTACCTTGCCTGATTTTGGACTAGAGCAGACTGGTTCAGCTCCCTGCATAATTCAGCACAGCCTAGGGCTGGGATTTTTTATATCCCACTTGCAGCAGGCAGCCCGGTATTTTTAAGAGTGCTGTATTCTGCACATAACTTTCCCAATACTTATCTCTGCTTTCCCCTACCCACACACTGGCATGCCCTTTTACCACTGGGGGTACTCCCCTACAAAAGAATACATTTGGTTTCTATCACCTTCAAGCCACCAAAACATCAGAAAGAAACAAGGCTGCATAGTCCTGACCTGGGCCCTAGAGGATGAAAGTGAGAGTACACAGCACAAAGACAACTTTACAACCAACATGCCACTCCTGAGACCAAAATGGTTTGCTTTCTATTCCAAAATAAAACAAAAGCAAAATATTTTTAGTTTATCTGAACTTCCGAAAGATCCCCAAATGAAAAACCAGACAGGACAAAACTACATATGCCTCAGGAGAAAAAGACAACAGAAATCTCATCACTCTATGCACTAACTCATCACAAAGAACTAGATCAGAGGTTCCCAATCTGTGGTATGGGTACCACCAGTGGTACTCAGACAACCTGTCAGCGGTACACATTAACAGATTTATTATAATTACTTTATATGACAAAAATTTGCTGGTGGTACTTAAGGTTGTATAGTTTTAAATTGGTGGTGTGCAATCTGTTAGAGTTTGGGAACTGCTGAACTAGATAATATTGGTCAACAAATTCATGACACCCTGAAGCTCACTTTGGCAACACATATCTAACTTCCTTTTCCAGTGTTTTCAATTTGGATGGGAATACGAACCCAAAATGGAAAACTGCTTCCTACTTCCCACAGGACTAAGGCAAAGGGGCCAGGATCAAGTCCCTTGCTTAGAAATTAACCTTTCAGTGGCAGCTAAACTTGACCTGAGCCAAAAGGCCAAGAAGTGACAAATCATGTCACCACCAACCATCACACCTTATCACCAGCAGGGGCCTAGATACATTCCCATGCCACTACATGTACGGGAGCCTTTGAAAGCAGAACCACCCACTGAAGTCCCAGCAAGAGCAACACCAATCCCTGGCACCTAACTGCAGACCCAGCACACACCACTTTTCCTCCCTCAACCCAAATTTGGACCTAATTCAAGTAACAGGATTAATTCCAAGAGGGGAAGAACCTCCCATGCCCTCACCCCATCCTTCATTATCTAGTTCAGATCCCTCTTCCCAGTTTGCCTGTACACTGGATGCTCCCCTGCTCTTTCTGCCCTTGCTGCGTTGTTGCAACGTCATTGTCATGCCCTGGATCCAACTGAGGGAAGAGCAGAGGTGCAGGCAGGGGTGTGGGGAGGGGGGCTTTTCTCTCATCCTCCTCAAAGCCACCTTTCCCTCCAGGACCCACTCTCCTGAGGCACGGATTCCTCTCAGCTCTCCCGGTCCATGTGCAGCTCCTGTGCCTGCCCTGCAGGGACGTTCCTTCCTCTGGGACTGGAAGAGCCCAGCAAGGCACCCACCCAGCTTTCTCGGAAGCCCCAAGGGAGTCCTGGCCAGGGAAGAAGCACCCCAACCAGGTGGGAAGGGGCAGTAATCTGCTGCCACTCCACCTGTGCTGGCATGGGTGCCTGCTGGCCCATCCGGGCAAGGAGCCTTCTTGCTTTGCTTCAGGGATGTCTCCCTCAGGGCACCCTGCTCCTTCTGAGACTGGACAAATGCAGCACCTCAGGGCTCCCTCTGCACCTAGTCTTTGGTCCTTGACTCCCGGCACTGGGGAAGCAATGTCAGGGTGGGGGGCACAATGTAGGGAAGTGATGGCTGGTGGGGTTAGCGATGGCAGAGAAAGTAATGGTTCAGGGGGAAAGCAATGGGGGAAGTAATGGCTGGAAGGTGAGTGATAGCTGGGGGGAAGTGATGGATGGGGAAGTGATTGTCAGGGCAGTAATGGCTGGGGGAGGGATGCAGGGGGAAGGATGGAGGGGATGGGTTGGGATAGAAGGTAGTGATGGCTGGAGGGGCAGTGATGGAGGGAAGTGATGAGGGAGAGCAATGGATGGGAAAGTGATGTGGAGGGGCAGCAATGGCTAGGGGAAGCGATGCGGGGGGAGGGATGGAGAGCAGCGATTCAGGGAGAGGGATGTGGGGTGGGCTGGGATAGGGGAAGTGGTGGCTGGGGGGAGTCACA